TAATTCACAGCCTTCAGGTGGTATTTTCTCCACCAAAGGAATATGTGGGCAGAGTGAAGTCCACAGAGGTTAGCAAATAGCTACTTTATTTAATGCACTAGTGACTAGTACAGAAAAAAATAAACACGTTTCGTCACAAAGAGGCTTTTTTAAGAATGTTGTAGTGGTAATCGTCTCAGAAATGCTATTCCACCACCCCAACGTAAATAGTCAAACCATTTAGTAATGGTTTGACTTCTTACGATGAGTCTGCTGTACATCGCTCCCTGTCTTTTCCCAATCGGAAGCCATGAGCTAAGCCTGGCAGTGCTGGCCTTAACTCATGGGACAGAGCAATTAGCTAACGCTTTCAGTTAATAAGCTGGCCATGCACTGCACGGCTAAGCTCAGAGCTTCTGGCTCTCCCCGAGGTGAGAGGAGGTGGGGAGTGGTGATCAGCAGACCCTAGTTAAGAAGTCCTTTCTTAAAATAACGCTAATAGGACTAAATTGAATACATGAATTTACACTTTACTAGCAACAAGAAACAATGTGAATTATATCAGGGTAACATAAACATACTTATTGTAGCATAGTGTCAGGTTGAATTAAAGTCAGTCAATCATAAATAAATGGAGAAACTAGACAACTATTCTTGATGATGTACATTTAAAGCAGTTTTTATTACTAACGATCTGAGCCAAGCATACTAATTATACAGTATATAATGACTGACGTCTCTGCTTCAACATGCCGGTGTTGATTAACTTATTACCCCAGCTACTTGTGTGTTGTGACCATTGTAGAAGTCTAGAATATACTAGTACCATAAGTACATTTATACTCGTAAAGGTTCCTTATTGATGAAAACAGAAACTGAAAGTGTTTAGAAGAGGTAAGGTAATCTGTGGAGTTTTTCTGTAATTGTCTGCTTTTTATGTACTTAAATATCAACCCAATGGATATAGAGAAATGTACAGCCAGCGTCTTTGTTGCATTTTACAGATAAGAAATTAAAATTTTTGTGAACACAAGATCTACTTTGATTACATATTGGATATGCACATTTCATAACTTGTGATCCACGGGTTGTACACGTCATCTTGTCAAAAAAAAAGTAAAGTAATAGAAGTTTGTGTCCTAAAATACACTTTTTTTTAGTTTTACATTATACTCGTTTTTTATTTCCTGCTAACATACCATGTAACCTTTCCTTATGTTGTGTTTCTAGCTAGTACACAGGATGCACACTTGTAAAACAAGCAATATAGCAATATACTAGGAGACTGGATCTTTTTGACAAATAAAAGTAGCAGCATGGAAGCTGCCTGAGTGTAGTGGGATAAGACAAAATCATAAGTGTCTTAAAGGGACACTATAGTCACCATAACAACTACAGTTGTTAAACATGTAGATGTTTGGGATTGTATAGTATGTCCCTGCAGGCATTTTAATGTAAATGCTGCCTTTTCAGTCACTCAGAGGGTCACTAGAGGTGCTTCCTGACATTCAGCACCTCCACGCTCTGCATGGCGACGCAGAACGTTTCCCATAGAGATGCATTGATTTATTGCATCTATATGAGACAATGCTGATGGGTGCAGTGCACCCTTTTGCTGCACATGTGCAATAGCCTCATAGAAAAGCATTGGACCCGCTTGGTGATGGGGTAAAATTGAATTTTAGACGCTTTACTCTCCTGACAGAGGTGCATAAATGGTGATGTTACATCTATAGTGTCAGGAATACATGTTTGTATTACTGACACTCTTGTGTTCATTTAAGACAACACTGAGATAAAATGTTAAAGCTCACAAAACAAATCCAGTGCGTCAGGGCAGGTGACATGTTAGTTAGTAAGGTCAACAATCAAAGTTACTAGTCATGAGACAATAGATGAGGTACTGTAGCAGCAGAATAAACAGGAACTTTTGCACCAGTAGGTATGAACCACTCAATTTCTTTAAGTTTCAAATTACACAGCGTGGGAAAATTCCAAAGAACTTTCCCACGCTGTGTAAAATGACACATAGCACTCTGATTGTTGGATTTCAAGCCTTACCTGTCAGTCTCTTCATTTACCTGTCAGAGCACTCTGATTGGATGGCTTAAACCCACCAATCAGAGTGCTCTGAGCCTAATTGCAGGGTGGGGCAAGGCTTTATAAGCCTTCCCCCGCCCTGCAGAGCTCAGTCTGTGCGGAGCCCTCCATGGGTGAAGATGGATTATTTTTATTTATTTATTTATTTTTTAAGTGCATCAGTTATTATGGATTTTTTATTTGGCCTTTTTTGGGGCTGAAAAAATAAGGTTTTAGAAGAAAGAAAACATCAAATGGTAAGTTTTATTTATTTACAGGTACTTAGTTAAATGTCCCGCCCTCATTATTTTTAGGGTTAGGGGGTTGGTAGGGGTTAATTTTTTTTTGGGGGGTGACTAGGGGATTGGGGACCCCTAGTCACCTGGGGGGGGTAACATTTTTGTTTAGGGTCCCACCAGCCGCTCAGGGGTGGGGGCCGGGGTGGAGGACAATAGGTCCCTCCCATATTGGTATTTAGGGGCCCCACTCACCACTCAGTGATGGGGGCCCCGGGGGAGGACATTAGATCCCCCCCTTATTAGTATTTAGGGCCCCCACCCAGCAATCAGGGGTGGGGGCCAGGGGGGAGGACATTAGGTCCCCCTCTTATTTTACTGTAGGGCCCCCACCCGCCGTTCAGGGGTGGGGGTGGGGGGCAATAGGTCCCCCTTTCAGGTTAGAAGCCCCCACTCACGCAGCACGGGTGGGGGCCTTTTTTTTTTTTTTTTAAGTGAGCAGTCAGCCATAGGATGCTCACTGTTTAATAGACATGCCCCTGCTCACAGTATGGCGAGTAGGGGCATCATTTACTAATACTAAGTAATCTTTACTTAGTATTAGTAAATTTGGCTGAAAGACCAATTTAGGTATTTGAGCCTTTTAGTAGATATCTCCCTAATGCCGTGGGAATTAGGGGGTTATCTACTTATTCATTCCTGTCATTACATTGACAGGCTAAGTAACTCAAATTTTATATAAATGTATGTTACTTGATTGTTGTAAGTGTTGCAAATGCTTACAGCTGAATCCTGGCTATGTTGGTACACTTTTTATTTAAAATTGCATACAGTGTAACATTCTTCATTCTTCCACTGGGAAAATATATTAGTTCTTAGGCAATACTGTGCTTCGGAACATCAGGAATTTAGGAACTTCGGCAATTTCGGAACTTCGGGACTTCAACCATTCGGCAATTCATCTATTTAGACATTCGGAAGTACCTGAATTTCGCAAAATTTGTCCAAATTCACATTCGGACCGAAACAAATTGCACATTTTTAGAGTGAATGCATGCGTTTATGTATAAAGTATTAATGTGTACGTATGTGGATGTTTGCATATATTGAATCACTGTTGCATATTGAATATGCAAGTAGGAATCTAGGTTGAAAAAAAAACTAAATTTCATCAAGTTTAACTATTTACACATCGGTTTCGCAATCTGTTGCAATTCCAATTGTGCTACAAAAGGGAAAATGCATTTTGACCTCAATATAGCTTTCAGAGCTGTTTCCATGCATAATAACTATAATGGGCTGCATTATATTAGCAGAGTGAGAATTTACGTTACTTACTGAATAGCAATTCCCCCTGTGATATATGTAAGTATAATTGCTCGTACTCTAAGAGAATGTGGTAATAGATATCGTCAAATATTCTGTTTTTCCAAAGTGCATGAAGACCTTTTATAAAAAGTAAACAAATACCATTTATAGTGGTTCTTTATAATGGAAATCCATTGCAGTTCCATATCATCCTCATGTGCCATCATGCTTGGGTCTTTCAACTAAGGCAGAAAGAGTCCAAATTAATAAATTCATCATGCAAATTCATATACCTTTTTATAAAATAAATACATTACTGACCTTTGAAGCTGAGTACTGACATTGGACATCATTGCTATCTATAAATATTTACAAGTCTTTCAAGTATGTCCCTCATACCTTTGCATTTATCTACATCAGATCTCATCTGGGGCCTACCTGTCTACCCCTACTCTCTTATATGTCCAAATCCCTCTGTAGAGAGGTAAATAAAGCCAATAATCTGAGACTGTGTTAATGTGCATAGTGTTGTGCCATCTGCAAACTCTGACTATGGCTTTTAATGTCCATTGCAGAATCATAAAAATGAAAAGGACAGAGCCCTCAGATTTTCCACTTACTACTTTTGTAAAACAGGAAAATTTTCTATTAACTACTGTCTGTACTTTCTTTTAAACCAATGTTCAAGCCAGGAGCAATCATTTTATCTAAACCAATTGCTGTATACATGTAGGATCTAGAGTTATACTTAGTTCCTCAATTAATGCAATTAACTTGACACAATGTGTCCTTCGCAAATCCATATTGATTTTCAGTAATGAGAATGTCGTTCAAAAATAATTCCTGTATATTATCCATTAATAAACCTCTAAATAATTTCTCAGTTACCGATTAGGTCTGCAAGAGATTTTGATTTATTTTTAAGAGTATTACATGATGATGGCAATTAAGTAAAGATTTTCAATACAGTGTACTGTCTAGTTCCTTAAAAGAACTAAAATGAATATATATATATATATATATATATATATATATGTATTAAGGCAGTTTTGCCTGTATTTGTGGGAGGGGCTTAAATTAATTCACTCCCCTATATAAGAGACACCCCTTACCTGACTCATATCGCTTGAGGTCAGCATCAGAATGATTTCCACTTCCGGGTCATCCAGACGCCATTTTACCTGATTACTCCATGAGGTTTTCTAAGCTGAGCTGTGTCAGGAATCCAGCCACAGGCTTTTCCGGCCTACCACCTTCTTTCTTCAATCTATCGCTGTGGATGGTGTCCAAGTGACTCACAAACCGTAAGTTGACCTACCCGTTACGCCAGGCATCAGTCCCACGGCACCATGCAAGGGTCAGGTCCTCACTTTACTGCTGCATTTTGTCTAAGTCTGTTCTAAAACCATTGCATGTTCATGCATATCATTCATTTAAACCCCCTACTGGTCTTTGGGGGTACTACAGACTTCTTAGACATTATCGCATTTCATGTACAAACCAACGAACCACTGCATTTTTGCCTACACACTGACCCCTACCGGTCATTCGGTGTACTACAGGCTTCTCAGACATTATTGCATTTCATGTACAAACCAACGAACCACCGCATTTTTCACCTACACACTGACCCCTATTGGTCATTCGGTGTACTACAGGCTTCTTAGGCGTTGTTTGCATTTTCATGTACAAACCAATAAACCACTGCATTTACACCTACACACTGACCCCTACTGGTCTTTCGGTGGACTACAGGCTTCTTAGACATTATCGCATTTCATGTACAAATCAACGAACCACTGCATCTTTGCCTACACACTGACCCCTACCGGTCATTCGGTGTACTACAGGCTTCTCAGACATTATTGCATTTCATGTACAAACCAACGAACCACCGCATTTTTCACCTACACACTGACCCCTACGGTCATTCGGTGTACTACGGGCTTCTCCGACATTATTGCTTTTCATGTACAAAACAATAAACCACTGCATTTTCACCTACACACTGACACCTACCAGTCATTCTGTGTACTACAGGCTTCTCAGACATTATTGCATTTTATGTACAAACCAACAAACCATTGCATTTTTCACCTACATACTGACCCCTATCAGTCATTCGGTGTACTACAGGCTTCTTAGACATTATTGCTTTTCGTGTACAAAACAATAAACCACTGCATTTTTATCTACACACTTACACCTACCGGTCATTCAGTGTACTACAGGCTTCTCAGGCATTATTGCATTTCATGTACAAACTAACGAACCACGGCATTTTCGCCTACATGCTGACCCCTACCGGTCAATCGGTATACTACAGTCTTCTCAGACTTTATTTCACTTCATAAGCAAACAAACTAACTACAGCATTTTCGCTTTTATACTGACTCCTATCTGTCATACGGTAGGATTAACCCCTTAGGGACACATGACATGTGTGTCATGTCATGATTCCCTTTTATTCCAGAAGTTTGGTCCTTAAGGGGTTAAAGGGTATTTTTACCATACAATCAGCATTTATGACCCCTACTGGTCAACAGCAAAACTGTCTTCACATGTCATATACAATTTACCAGCCAATATAAATTACACATAAGATTGTTTTAACCCCTTAAGGACACAAGACATGTGTGACGTGTCATGATTCCCTTTTATTCCAGAAGTTTGGTCCTTACGGGGTTAAACATAACCATAAACCATAAATGAAACTCCAGCACGGGCTCAAATTCAGGTTTAATTCACAATAATTTACATTTCACATCAAGACCAACAGTGGTTCTATCAACACTGCCACCTACAGGTCTGTCAAGTACATTGACAATTTTCATGGGGTTTTACAAACACCAAAACACTTACACCTATAGGTCAACAGACAAACAACATTTCACATACCAATCAGTATCCAACTACACTGCCACCTATAGGGCACTCGGCAGATCTCCAGTGCACTTGCATTTTGCAACACCATATTCACTGACCCCTACCATTCAATAAGACATACAACAATTCACATAGCAAGCACTATATCAACATCAGGTATAAATACATATCTTATTACACAGTAGCAGACGCGTCTGTATATACGTAACTGGTAATATAGTTCACATACATTTTTCACAGCACGCTGCTCACGCAACAGACTTTCCCCTAGCAAGGGGACATACAACATACAAGGTGGGGACAGACCACATTTTCACTTGTACATACGGCACTTAATGGGTTAAGATTGATACATATTTAACCAGTATGGCTACGATGTTTAATATTTACACATCATGGCACTTTACTTTTCACATATACTGTACGTATTAAGATAAGCTTGGTCTATGCCATATTTCCTTATGCCATATGGTTTTATCCATTCAGGTTACAGTTACTACTAAAAAACCTATACGGATTGTCAGGTTCAATACCATACTACCAGGTACATACACCTGCTCACGTAGTTATCCATCTCTTACCTTCCCTGGAATAGTAATAGTGTACTGGCAATTAGGGTTCTAGGGCCCAATAGGTATTACCCCCTTTTTTCTCTGCATTATGCTTCGGTTAGTGGTCCCGCGAGGCCAACACCCCGCCTCACACTCGGAGGCATACACCCCTCGGGCCACTCGTGAGCTAGCCGCCTCGCATTGTATCATAGAGAGGGCCTCACCTGTCACTCCCCTTCCTATTTTCTGGTTACTGTCACCGAGAGGCCAACATCCTGCCACAATGTTCGGTGGCCACACAAAATCCCCTCGCGCCAAGCATAGATAGAGCCTCTCAAGCCACTTGGCAACTAGCAGGGCCTCACCAGTCACCAAAAAACACCAAGCCTAATCGTTTCGCCTTACGGCTTAGCTAGCAAGCCAGTACAAGAACCCTGGGTACAAATAATTGCATCTTTATTGTTATTTAAGTATTTTTCCAAAAGATGGTGAAGAATCACCTCTTCCTAGCACCCCGGCTAGAATTGATACACCTTCAAGCAGAGGAGATGTTGCTAGTCCTGCAGCAATCAGATCCTGGACGATCCCACACATTACCACCGACCTAAGGAGGTGACAAATCCCCTACCCTGCTACAGCAAGGAAAGCAGAGTTATTCAAACTCCTCCATACATCAACGGACAACACGGAGGCAGGGGAAGGCCCAGCTACATCAACTCAGGTGACACCCAGGCTATGCTAGCCTCACTCATAAACTCATGAGCCAAAAAATTTTATGACAGACTGGCAATCTCGAGTTGGTCACCACAGCCCTCACAAGGCTGGGCCTCACGTTACTGTACAACCAGCACCAACCGAAACTCGGTTACCTGGTACAATCAATTCTTATGACACACAAGATGTTAACCCTGCACGTATGATCCCAGCACATTGGGGAAGCAAGGCATATATATGTATGATGATGTATCTGTGATGGTCAGATTCAGGGATTCCAGGTAAATCGGGAACTGACCATCTCTTGGATGGGTTGGTATTTGGAATATGTAGAGATGTTTATTTGTGCAGGTACCCATACAGAAGGGGTTCTGTCCCAAACAAATGGACGAGCACTCTCAGGCTCCAGGTACCAGCACCTCTGAACTACCAGAGACGATTGATATGAGTAGTTGCATTGCATATAGACTGTTGCATATATGTTCAAATGGTTCAGGGCACATGACAAACCATGTGGCCCAATACAACTTACAAATAACGTACTCACCATCTGTACACACCAATGCATTTTCAACACCACTGACTCATCCCCCTTCCAGACTTGTAGTAGATGTACTAAAGCTCTGGAGCTTCAAAGGGCTCCCATACAGGTATCATAAACACACCTTCAAGGAATATAGCATGCCCTCACTTACAGTCAGCACAACAAAACCATTGGCTGAAAACACACTCATAGCCAAGATTTGCAGAGTGGTCTTCCAATCTCCACCATTTACAGCATGGCACCAAACACACACATTGGTATTGTCACAAGGAATCTTCCCTTAAACAAAGACTAACTATAGACTTATTGGCACCACACACCTCCGCTACCCCAAGTCTCAACTCCCTTCTTACTATACAACACCATTGATCTACCTTTACAGCTATCACTCAAGCATGGGTTAAAGCTTGTTAAGTAAGACCAATATCATCAACGCAGTAAACAGCTACCATCTACCCTACACACTGGCACTTACATGGCATAAATTGGGCAATCCTTTCCCTGCTCAACTTTCGAGCTACAGATTAACCTACTATCGATATTCGCAGATACTCTGTGCTGGTTATGATAACATATCCAGAGGCATTACAGTCATACACTATCTAGAAGACTTCTTGTTGCTCAAAGAAAGCATATTTTTCACTAGAAGCCTCATGGCAGCTTAGTCTGGTTGACCACTTGGGCGTCCCAGTACCCCATAAGAAACAGAAGGCGCAGACACTATCATCACATTACTGGGCATATGACTTGAGTCGGCATCCATACACGCAAGTTACCACAAGACAAATAGGGAACATTCTCAACTAAATCAATCACTACCTCCTGCTTAGTACTTACAACTACAAGGAACTACAATCCCTACCAGGTTCCTTAATTTTGCCATGCCAATCATACCACAAGACCACGCTTTCACATCCAGAGTACTTTCCCCTTTTTTCCACACTTCCAACATGACGATCAGAGGAGGTGCCTAGACACCTCAGCAACAGCAGACCTGCACATGGGGGGGATTTCTTAACCACTTGGCATTGTAAAAGCATGTTCCTTCCAGGATTGTCTGACACTTCTCCAACCAGATGGTCAGACACAGCGTATACCACGGGTTTGGCAGCGATCTACCGGGAACAATTGCTTTGGGGCTGTTGGCCATGGCATCCAGGTTTGGAAATTTTTCCACCACTTCAGCCCCTTTGGGAGATCTACCCCATTGTAGCAGCTGCTGTGGCATGGGGTAAATCATGGTCAGGGTCATCAATCCGTTGTTACTCAGACAACTAAGCACATATCATATCATCAACAAACGCCACTACTCATCCATAAGTTCATGATGTTTCTGGGGAACTCACTTGGTTGGCCACTTATCACATTTCACTTTCATGTACCAGACGGGGGTATACATCCCTGCCGACAACTGTCTCATTTATATTCCAGGCATGTTCATCATACGCTTCCTACAGCCGCCCATACAGTCACGGTCCACTCTTTCGTTCCAGAGACAAAATCATGGATTAGACATACTCATGCAGCATAGCATGCACTATCCCACCTAGCACTTTCGTCCCATACTTGTAGAACGCATAACACAGCTTTTCACCTGGCTTAAAGAATCTCATTGGAACACGACATAGCTCAACCTGTGTCACAAAATTTCTCCTAAGTTTTGCTTATTTTTGCCACCTTAAACTTAAACTATCTCATACACCATTAATTATATATTTTACAGGCATTCAACAACACATGATAACCTATGGCCAAAACTACCATAAACTTCATGCTATCATACCAGAAAAGAATATACTCAGAGGTTTTCAGGAATCCATTCCCCCACGTTCCTCTCAGAGATTACCAATAGCCATCCAACTGTTCATCCTTATCGGACCTATTAGTATAATTGAATGGTTGTAGATCTACCAAGTCGGCCATTACCAGCCATGCACATTGCCTTTTATGCCTTTCTCAGGCCAGAGAATCCGCTACCATCACCACCACTCAGACAGATCATTGTCTTCAACGATCCCACGTACGTAAACACATATATCATTACCTATTGGCTCTACCACATTCCGAAATGAGTCAACATGCACCAACAGTAGAGATAACATACTATCCTACCCACAACAAATGGTGCCCACTTTCGGTCCTAGATTCCTACCTTCAAAATCCTTTCAGGAATTAAATACTGTAATGCATTTAAGGAAATGTCTGGTTAATTTGTTTATATTTGTTGACTGTATTAAATCTTTGATTATTCATTTTTGCCCTCTTTATTTACAGGCCTACCGTATCGTCGGTATCGGCACACCACAACCGACTTGCTCCCTTTACACTATCCTAAGCTTATGCTGGATCCTTACTCCATATACGGCTATTTTGCCCCTTACACAAGTATTAAGGCAGTTTTGCCTGTATTTGTGGGAGGGGCTTAAATTAATTCACTCCCCTATATAAGGGACACCCCTTACCTGACTCATATCGCTTGAGGTCAGCATCAGAATGACCCTCCCACCCACTCCTCATTTCAACACTTTCTCTTTTCTTTCCATTTACTTTACTTTCTTACTCCTTGGTGGGCCCTCTTTATTTACAGGCCTACCGTATCGTCGGTATCGGCACACCACAACCGACTTGCTCCCTTTACACTATCCTAAGCTTATGCTGGATCCTTACTCCATATACGGCTATTTTGCCCCTTACACAAATATATATATATATATCATATGTTAATTTACCATTATAATTAATATTTCTATTATATAATATTCCATAGATTGTTTATAGGCAATTAAAGTGTGGTTTAAGAATGCATTGCAAGTACATTTACATTTGTTCTGGGATGCTACTCAAGGACTCCATTTTAGAAAATTATCAAAAAGGTCTCTGGGAGCTGATCAGGACTCTCAAAACCCCCAGTTTGGAACAGGGCCAGCAGAGAGAGTGTCAGTTCGAAAGAAAAAAAAATTCCAAGAACCAGTTACAGAAAATACTGCGTAAATAAGGAACAGTAGATTGTAATGTTCTAGCTGAAACAGATTAAACTATGTAGAACATTCAGTGTCTAGTAGCAAATTTGAAATGGATAAATATATCTGTGAATGCTCCAAATCAATCAGCACAAGACAATTATGTTCCCAAGGCTATGGTAGGTGGCATTGTGGGAGGTTTATTAACCCGTTTACTATGCTAATCATCTATACATGATTCCTAGGGTATGATCCCATGGTTCTAACAATTGCAAATTAAATTTGTTTATTGCAGATACATTTCATTTGTAATTGCTGCCTTTCTAGCATTGGCTTTGCTGAGTCCCCCAGCAAGGAGCACAGACTGTTGGGGTGAACTAAATATGAAACACTGCACATACAGGGTTAACACCTAGTTCTGCTGGAGGTACAACTCCACCTTCAGCAGCATCATTATTTAGGCTAATGTGTGCATGTTTTGTGTCTGCCATCAGCACACATAGCGTATTGGCAACAGAGGACCAATGACAGCTTGACCCCATATCTCACAAGTCGTCCCCTCAGCCTGTCCTTCAGGACATCTCTCCCACTTCCCACTGCAGTGAGGGTGAGTGATGTCACTAAAGGAGAATTTGCCTGCAGGCAATGTTAGTTGTCCTTTATTTTAATTTTTTTTAATTCTTTTACATTTTGGTGGGGACCATTCTAGTAACCGAATGTACAAATCTACTACATTTTCTTTGTCTTTCCTAATTAATGTTATCTATTAACAACCCCGCTTATCTCATAGTTTCCTTTTTTTTTTATTGACTCCCATATTTATTTTCACATTTTAACGTGGAAGATGGCTAGCAAGTGCTTGCCAACTGCCACATAATTAGCCCTTGCTAATTGTTGTTTTTTTTACAATTTGCCGATGGCTGCTAGTGCTGCCAGCATGCAATTAGTAAAGTCTGAATAACCAAGGAAATAAAACAGTTCATCCATTAACTGTTTCATTTGTGTCATGCCTTGTCCATTGACCAATTTCTGCATCTCTGACACATTGTCAATCGTCCAAAATTCAGACAAATCACGAATCATCCGAAACTGAGTTCACAAGTCTCCTGAATATACCTCATAGGCGGTTAGGTATTAAATACCATGTGTGGATCTGTAGTAGAAGTACCATCCGATGTAACGCTATCAGTGAACTATTATATTGCACAATTTATAATCAGTTAGAATTGCAGAAAAAAAAATCCTTTAATACATTCCCTGGAGTTTTTGTTTTTTATTGGCAACTTGCCCAGGCTGATCTTGCAACTGGTAAAAATTGTATTGCATCAATGATATGTGTGCAGAGGCAATACAAATCTCTTGAACAAAACCTGCCCACAGCATGCAACACAATGCCGTAGTACTACGTTTTTTTTTCTGATACAAAAGATGTAAACAGAAAGGCATGAAAATACAAGCGATTAATAAATGCCAATCAAATTAGCACATCCTCAACACTACCTAATTAGCATCATGTTAATGTATTAATATTGTGTCTTTATTTGCCAGATGTGTGTGCAAACACTGGTTTTACTAGTCATCTGAACAGTAATCCTGGCAAATCTCAAACAGCCAAACTAGTTACAAAAGGGAATGTTGTGAAGTGTAAATGAAAACTTGGATATATTACTGCAGTAAAGAGACTGGAATTTTCTCTGTTGTTGTAGTTAGGTTTCACAATTTAGATATGCTTTTTTTCTGAGTGTTAACTTCCAAATACAAGATACACAATGATCATCCACAACATTAAAACCGTCTGACTTATATCATCAGGGTCCCCCTTGTACTGTTGCAAGGTGGGGCCTCGAAGGATCGGATTTGTTGTTCCAGCACATTCCACAGCTGTTTAGTTGGATTGAGATCTGGGGAAGTCATGGCAACACTTGGACTCTTTGTCATGCTCCTCAAACCTTTCCTGAACATTTTTTGCAATCTGGCAGGGTGCACTATCCTGCTGAGAGATACCACTGCCACAAGGGAACACCATTGCCATGATGTTTGCAAGAATCTCTAGGTAGGTGGTAAGTGTCAAACATCTACATGAATGCCAGGACCCAAGGTTTCCCAGCAGAACATTGCCCAAGGCATAACACTGCCTCTGCCAGCCTGCCTCCTTTCCATAGTGCTACCTGTTACCATTTCTTCCCCAGGTAAATAACGCACATGTACCCAGCCATCCACCTGATCTAAACATAAAACATGATTCGTCAGACCAGGTGACCTTCTTTCATTACTCCATGGTCCTGTTCTGATTCTCATTTTCACTTTGAAGGTGATTTCAGTGGTGGACAGGGGTCATTATAGGCTTTCAGACTGGTCTGCAGCTATGCAGCCCCATGTGCAGCAAACTGTGTTGCACTGTGTGCTCACACGTTTATATCATGGCCGGCATTCAGTTTTTCAGAAATTTGAGTGACAGTAGCTCTTCTGTGTGATTGAACTAGACAGGCTAACCTTCGGTTCCCACATGCATCAAAGAGCCTAAGGTGCCCATGACCCTGATGTCTGTTTACCAGTTGTCCTTCCTTGCACCACTTTTGGTAGGTACTAAGTACTGCACACCCCAAAAAATGTGCCATTTCCCAATGATCTGACCTGATTGGCTACAGGGCTGGACTGGGGATACAAAGCAGCCCTGGAAAAAAAACTATACCAGCCCCATAAGTTATTGTGCCATATATTGTCGCATGTAATATGTAAGGCTATGTCTTGCCACCCCAGATGATTACTCCTTTCAGAGTAAAATGTTTAATTATACAGTAAGCATACTCACATGCAGACACAGACAATCTCACTGACACACACAAGCTCATTGATACACAGCCTCATAGACAAAAATCTCACTGATATACATAAGCTCTTTGACATAAAAACACAAGCTCACTCACTAGCAGGCACACACACACACATGCAAGCAAGCCCACTCACAAGCAGGAGCACACACACACACACACAGCTTATGGTAGTGGTCTTGGTGTCTATTGTTTGTCCCTGCAGGCTTTTCAATGTAAACACTGACTTTTCAGAGAAAAGGCAGTGTATACCTTGCTTCCTAGTGACAGAACTCAGACGGTCACTAGAGGTGATTCCTGTGTCAGTGCGGATTGACTGAGATCATCAAGCTTGATGATCTCAGCTATAGAGGCAGGGCCAGTCAAGGGGAGACCAGCATGACGTGGGGGGAAAAAAGGTGAGTAAAAACACTGTTTTTAAAAACACAGACACACACCATGACAGACACACACATACCATGACAGACACACACCATGACACAGACAGAAACTCACACACACCATGACACAGACAGACAGGCAGACACACACACCATGACACGGACAC